TTGCCCACCTCTTGGTATCTGCCTGCCCCTGCCACCTCCTCCTGACGCAGTGCCCTTCTGCCTGCTCATCCCCTGGGCCATCCAGTGAGGCACCCGCACTTGGTGGCATGTTGTGGGAGCAGCTGGGTGCCCTGTGCCCTCCGCCGTGCCCACTACATGGATGCAGCCACTCGGGGGTGGCCTGAGCCTGCTGGCAGCTTGGAGGAGCCCTGTGTTGCTACTGGCCATTTTCCTCAGGCTCAGGGCAGGGCTCTGCCCTCACGTTCCTCGGGAGACTCCAGGGCTCCAGCTGGCCCATGCACATGCCAAAGCACTACAGAGGAGCCCAGAGCAGGGTAGGCCAAGCTCACAGCCACACACTGGGATAGGGACCGGACACGAGCCCAGATGCTGGTAGCAGGGAAAGGGCACTTGATGGCAGCAAGTACCGCAGCTGGAGGTAGCATGTCACCTCCCCGCTCTGACGGGGGTGAGCGCAGGGCTGCTCCAACCCCACGCTCCTACACCCTGGCTGAGTGCTGTAGCACAGGCGCTGGCCCCGTGTGTGGTGCTGTGGGCGCAGGGTGAAAGGCAGCGGGCCCTGCCACTGTTACCCGAGGTCCCACCATACAGCCCCTGGTTGCATTCAGCCACCCTTGGGAAACGTGTCCAGCCCGGGTCCCCTGCCCCGCCCAGCCCAAGCCCCCACTGGGTGCGGCCACAAGAACATCCAAGACCGGAGCCCGCTTCTTTCACAGTCCAACGACTGATGTGAGCTACAGCACTGCAGCCTGCATGCGCAAAAGGGCTTGGGGCACTGGGACCCCTGCAAGCAGGGGCAGGCCGGCTTTGGAGACCCCCTCCGGGGCAGGAGGCAGGCGTGGGCAGGGTCCTAGCTCTGTGGGGATGTGTCTGCCTACAGGAAAGGGAGCTGGAGGTGATGCACGAGTGCCTGCTGCTCCTGCCCCTGTGCAGCTCCCTGCCACCACAGTCTGCACTCTGCTCTGCTGAGCCAGCAAGAGCGCTGGGCCCCCTCCTCCGGGAAGCAATAACACTGCTGGCAGGGCTGCTCCTGGGCAGGCAGGCAAAAAAACTCCTCTCAGGCTCTCACCCTGCAGCGATGCCCACTGCTAGCACAAGGTGACTTTTTTTTCTTCCAAGCAGCGGCTTTTGTGGCACAAGCTCACATGACATCAGGGCTGTGACCCACCCCTGTCAAGGCACGAGGCCAAGAACAGCACTGGGGGGATTCTGGCACTTGCTTCTTCCTTGTTGGTACCACCACCGCCAGCAGCCCCCCAGCAGCAGGAGTCGGATGGAGCCACAGTCGGCGATTCTGCCACTGGCACTTTGCTGGGATCCTGCAGGCAGCGGTGGCCCCAGGCTCCGACACGAGGGAGGCAGAGGAGCAGGCTGCCATCGCTGCCCCACAGGCAGGCTCACACTGTCCTCGCTGTGAGGGGAGGGTGTTTTGGTGCAATAATTACCCCTGCACTACGGGAAGCCCCGTTCAGTTCCTTTTTACCTACCTGTCGTTGCATGTACAGACCAAATCACCAACAGTGTGGTTGTGCTTTGGAGAGACATTTCACTTTTTCTTTCCAGCCCCCAACCTTAGACCACCTGTCCTTTGGGTTACACCACCTCTGTTCCAAGTGCCACCTGCCCTCCCAGTGCTGGGAGCGTGTCGATGCAGTATTCCACGAGCAGTGTGGGGCACGCACAGCTTGCACTCAAACTGGGGATTGTTTTTTTTGTAATTAATGTACTTGAAGGCTTTCCGAGCCCCCCGTGGAGTTGTACTGTTGCTGTACTGTGAGCTAAGTGTCCTTGTTTTCTATGTGGATCTTGACCCTGGCTTGCTGTCTCACTGGGCTGGATGACACTGTATGTTGCCCCTTTTCTCCTTCACCCTTTCCCTCCCTGCTAGCCTCCCTTTCTTCTCCCAAAGCTTTGGGTGCAAAACAGCTTCCCATTTTGTGGAATTTTTATGTAGAATAAACATTTGTAACTGTAAAGCTCTGGCTGGCACCTCTCTGTTTCAGGGGAAGGGAGGAGGTGATGGGGAGCAAGGGCTGGGGTACGGAGAACCCCAGCACCCTGGGAACACTAAAGCATCAGGGTAGGCCTGATGCGAAGCGCCCACAGGAGTAATCGCCACAGGAATAACACTTCTGCCAGGAGGAAGATTTGCCCTCATGGGACACACCTATATACTACGACACACCTATATACTACCTGACTCCCTGCCTGGGGGCAGAGGGGAAGCTGGCAGGGAACTAGGTGCTACCTAGTACTCCCCTGCACTGAGGGGCAGGACACAGAAGACCAGCAACACTTCTGACTCATTGACTGTTTAGTGAGGAGGCTGGATATAATGTTCTGGCTCACCTGGAGCTCCAGACGGCTCGCTGCACTCTCGGGAAGATAAGCAATGGCACTGCAGACACCAAGTGGCCAGAGCACTGTGTGCCACTCTACCTTCACCAGAAAAACAGGGCTGGAAGCTTTGCAGTTGGCTATTGGGCAGCACCTGAGCCAGTTTACACCTGCAAGAGCCACAATGACCTGTCCCAGCAAGTCCCAGGCCTGGGGTGCCCATCTGTGCCATCCACGGGAGGCTCACTGGAGGGACTAACACACCATCTTCCACACCAGCAGCGTCCAGAGCAATTCAGAAGCGAGGGCGGCGCTTTCGACCTGTGTATTTCGTGTCTGCTCGCACTTCCCTGTGGAAAAAAGAAGAGCGCAACTAAGCTCAATCCACAGGTCATTCTGGGAGGGGAAGGGAAGCAGGTTCGTGGCAGGAGTTTGAATGGAACGTCAGGGTTCAGTCAGCCCCAGCTGAAGCAGGACCCAGCTGAACTTACTTGCCCTGTCGTCGTCTACGCTCCTTCTTCTCAAGGATCCAGTCCCGGCTTTTCTTCACAGACTTGCCCTTGGCGTTTCTGAACCGTGTCCTACAGAGAAAGCAGACAGCAGCTGGAGAGGAACTGAGGTGGGGTGCATGGTTTTCTGCCCTGGAGGATTGCCACCCGGAACTGGGCATGTCCTCTGCCTCATAAAACCAGAGAGTACGCCTCCCACCACCCCTGGGATGAAAGAGGCTCGGCCAGCACTGGGGCAGGTGGCCACAGTCCCAACCGCAGACGCACTGGGGGAGGAGGCTGCTTTCAGCCCCAGCTCTGAGCCGAGGGATACCTACCCTTCATGGGCTGCAGCAGGCCAGCTCTCCCTGTGCCATGTCTGACACACCAGCAGCACGCTGGGCTCTGGGATCTCGGGGGAATACGGGCTTAAGCACAACCACCTTCTTGTCTGCTCTACTCTGAACAAAGCAGACAAAGCCTCTGGCTTCCCAACAAGTTGCCAGTTCTGCTATCGCCCTCCAAGACCAGGTACCCCCTGGACTAAGCGAGCAGAGAATAGCGGTGTGAGAGGCAGGAAAACATGGCAGCCACAAGCTCCTGGCAGCCACGACGACTTTCCTCTGTTTTTTGTTCTCTGTCTCTCCCACTAGCTGCAAGAGGGGCTCCTCCCTGCACCACTACCGTGGGAGGAGACCTGTCCAGCAGGAGAAACCCCCAGGCCACAGCTAAGCAAAGCTAAGCGAAGAATTTGACAGCAGAAGAAACTGAACACCAGGCTTCAGGCACAGCACCTGCCTCCCCAACAAAAAAAGCCTTGCTTGGCATCACCAGCACTGCAAGCATTCCACCTGCCATCACCACTGGCCTACACTACAGCGCTGAGCTGGAGAGCCAAGTGCCAGACAGAAAGCGCACCTCAAACCGAATGCTCAGCTGCAGCTCTAGGGTAAGCATCAACAACAGCCCCACGACACCACAGCAAAGCCCTCCAAACCAACCCATTCCATTCCTTGTGTCTGGGGCCCTTCAATAAGATAAAGCAGTGCCCATCTGGGCTGCCAAGGGTCCTCACAGTGCCCCCAGTCCCTTCCCTTCAGTCGCTTCTCACATGGCAGTGCTGTGGTCCTCAGTCAGCAAAACCCAGCCCCTATACCCCTCACGCTCCTTGCTCGGGGAGGACTTGCAGCTTCACCCCCCACACAGTACCTCTCATTGGTGAACTTTGCCTGGTGTGTCTCTTCTCCATCAGCACACTCAGTACCAAGGCCCTGAAAAGCAAAATTGGGAAGTTTCGCTCTCCTCTGGAGCAGACAGAGCTAACAGTTATGCCACGTAAATTAAGGGGAACCCAGGCCTCTGCAAGGGGAAGGACTGGAGCAGCAACAAACTGGTCTTCCAGAAATTGTGGCAAAGAAACCAGATCTCAGGGAGAGCAGGGGTTGGTGAGACTGACAGCAAATGTATAAATGAAGTCACATCTGTATGCACAGAGCTGCCTGGCTGCCACTCTGTGACTTCCCCTCGCCCACAGCTCTTCCGCATCACCCAGCAGCCAGGAAGGCAACTCTGCGGCCTCACGGAGCTCCTCACCTTCGGTAATGTGCCAGATGCCCCAACAAAGAGACAAAGGAAGAACCTGAAAGAACAAGAATAAGGAGCATGAAGCTGGATCCAGCATGCGATTCCCAGTCCCCAAGCAAGACTGAGATTGTTTATAACAGAGTCAGGTCTAAGCTGTAACCTCTGTCCAAGGTAACCTGACTGTATCATGGGAGAGAGAACAGCTCGGCGGAAAAAAAAAATCACTGCTAAACCCAGGCCTCACCCCAAACACACACATACACAGAGACCCAGGACTCACTTCTTGGCTTTGGCGCTGTTGGGGTAATCTACTACCATTCCTCCGGTAAAGCCAGCTCTCATGGCTTGGGCCGTGATGAGCTCCAGCTGGAAAAAGAAGCACGTGCAAAAGTTATTTAGGGGTCATCCACCAGCAATGCCCAAGAGACCTCTGAGCTTGACCACAGCTAACTGTGCATGCCAAAGATGGGTCGTTCCTGCTCCTGTTAAACTCTGCACCAAGCTCCCAGTTCTGCAGTGCCATCTGGACACCAGTCTGCTGCCTTTATTTGGTTCTCCCTACTCCTCAGTCTAGCCTGGGTTAATTGGCACAGCAGACGCCAAGAGAGGGATACTGGGCTGGATTTTCCAGCTCTGGGGAGTTACAGTACAGTGCTGATGACTACAGGCCAGTCTTCACACCCAGTCACGCAGGGGAAAATCCAGGACAGCAGATTCAGATCGTGTTCGGACAATTTCTTTGATTTTAAGGCTCAGCTTAAGACAATCTGTGAAGCAACAGAAATTGCATAGGGCATTCTCCTTATAGGTTTTTTCTGCGCTCTTGAAGAGCTTTACAGATGGCGGGAAGGACAGAGACACAGACCCAATGTGGAGACACATCATGCATTCAGAGCCCCAATCAGCACATGACTTCTCTGCCTGGCTCTGCCTGTACCTCTTCCCCACTGACTGATGTCCTGTACCTGTTCTGAGTTCTCGGGGTACAGCTGCAGGACGGCTCGGGATCCTCGGGCCTACAGGAAATAAAGTCGATCACAAACCTGTCTCAGTGCAGGCAACCCCTCTAGTCACCCAATCCCTAGCCCAGACACTAGCGCCCACCTCCCCAAAGCCTCCTGGAAAACTCTCCCAAGAGAGCTGCTCAGACTGCAGAGCCAGCTCCTCCACAGCACAGCAAGGCACGGGGGTAACAGCAGGGATCAGAGAAGCATGAGGCACCATGCAGGCAGGCAAGGAGATAGGAAATGGGTGCTCCTGCCAGTCCTCCGTTTCAGAGCAGCATTTACTTAAAATACCCGACTTAAATATCTTGCTAAAATGCACCAGCAAGGATGGGAGAGCATGACACTTACCAAGGCGGTATAAAGAGTTGAGAAGAATCGGTAAAGGCGTTTTGGAGGGCTGTGTGATTTCTTATCAGCATTACAAAGCCACTGCACTGCGGAAATACTGGGAAAGAAAACAAGACCCCCGATCTGAGCCATCGATTCTTTCGCAGGGCCTTTGAGCTTACTTCCAGCACTAAGCATGTGCTAGGCTTCAGGGAAACGATTTAATTTTCTCCATGTAGCTTTGCCTTCTGTTCTGCAGTTACATGAACCCCTCTGGAGACTCACTATGCCAAAACCCAACAGGGCGCAGTAATTATTCAAGCACAAAAGAATCACCAAGCATCCCCTTTAGGCCAGGTGCTCAAATAATTCAAGTACTTAGCTGTGGCCCTTGCATGGCCATGCAGGCTTTGCCAATGAGCAATCCCAAACAGAGCATTCGGATCAGCAACGGACAGTCCTTGCTCCCTTCCAGCACCTTTCTGAGGTATTGTCTAAGCAGAAAAGTGTTTCTGTCCCCTTCACCTAGCCCTTCATCCGAAACCCAACCATCAAACCTTTGATCCAGGGACTAACATTCCAGCTGAGCAATGGTACAGACAAACTTTCTGTCTTCCTCCTCGGAGCAGGTCTCAACCCTCCTGGCAACATCCCCAATTTTATTTTATTTACTTCAATAAACTTCCTAGCTCACCAGCACAAAAAAAGACAAGCATCACTTGGGAAACAGCTGTCGGAAGCTGCTTCTACCATCCAGAATCTCAGCAGCTTGTCCCCCAGAGGTGGAGTCAAGTTGCATGGAGCAAAGAAAGCGACCGATAAGGACAGTTGCACTCATCTGTTACGTACCGTATGTGGACCGTGTGTGCTGTACCGACGATGCGGTTATGTGGAGTATCAAGAGAGCTTGCTTATGTACACAAACTCACCTGATACAGCCGTCAAACATGCCGGGCCTGAAGGGAATGCCATGACCCACATCTGCAAGGAGAAGGTCTCCTTCCACCTCCCTCTCCACGGCCACATCTGCACAGAACAGAACGTGGCTCAGGCAACCAGCTCACACCTTCGGGGACCACCTCTGAGGTGAGGCGAGGGTGGCAGGGGAGGAGGGCCTGCTCACCCAGCATGGCAGGGCTGATGTCCATGCCAATCCAGTAGTGACCCTCGTTGGAGATGTAATCCCCGCTCAGCCCAGAGCCACAGCTGAAGGGAGGAAGGGGGGAAAGCGCAGGGATCACGGGCCTGGTCTGAGGGTGACCCTGTCCAGCCACAAGGTCACAGCAGCCCATCCCTGTTCTTCAGCCCACAACAGAGGGATGCCAGTGCCATGGGGCCTGGGTGCCCCTCGCCCCCGCACGCCCCGCCGGCCCCCGCGCCCTGGCCAGCTGAAGCCCCAGACGCCCCGTGTGGGGCCATGAGGCAGGGCAGGGCCCCCTCTCACCCCACGTCCAGGAGGAGGCACGGCCGGTCCTCGGGCAGTCCCAGCAGCTCCACAGCCCGCTCCGACATCTGCGACTGGATCTCCACCACCCGGGAACTGCAGGACACGGCCAGACCACGGGCAGCAGGCGGCAACCCCCCCGCCACCGCCTCACG